ACTCACCATCAACAAGGGCAACTCAGCAGGGGAGAAAGATCTCGAACCAGTAATTATAGTGAAGAGTTGTGGGCGGTAAGACTGCTGGTTTACTGAAGAGAGCACACCTACCTGCCTGGGGATATTGAGAATAGATAGCTTCACAGAGCTGGTAACATTTGACTTTACCTTCAAAGTTAGAAACAGGCCATGAGGAAGATATTTCAAGCAAACACAACCATCTCTGCAAAGGCCTAAGGGATAAAATTTATGGAAGTTTTAAGGAATTGCAGGTAATGTGGGGACGCTTCAGTTAGGTGGTGAGAGACAGGGAGAGAGGGCAGAGACAAGGGTGGAGAAATGGGCAAAAACCAAATCAAGGGGGCCAGAATAAAGGGTGTGCATATTATATTAAAGAAGTAAGGCTAACAACAACAAATTCTTACCAGATACCAAACACTGTTCTAAACGTTTGGTAATTCCTTTTGATCTTCCATTATAGTAGGTCTTGGTATTATCCACAAAGAAATAAAGGTACAGATTGCTGGAAGTAACACCATACTAAGGGCAGAGCCAGGTTTGGAGCCCAAGCAATTAGGGTTTGCACTGGGTTGAATTGTATCTTAGTGCTATAACAAAAATACCACAGACTAAATAACATAAATAACAACCGCTCATTTCTCACAGTTCTGAAGTCTGGGAAGTCCAATATCAAGGAGCCAGCCAATTCAGTTCCAAGAGTACCCTTGCAGGGCTGAGAGAAAGGGAGTATGCATCCCTTCACTTCCTTATCCTTTCAAGGGAACTACTTCCGTCATGAGGGCCTGCCCTTATGACCTCACTTAAACCTAATTATCTTCTAAAGGCCCCATCTCAGATGCCATCACATTGGGGATTAGGAAAACATGAATATTTGGGGGGGCCACAAACATTCAGTTGATAGCAAACTCTATCCCCTTCAAGTTGAAATCCTAACCCTCAGTATATTAAAATGGGAACTTATGGGGAGCCTGGGTGGCTCAGTGGGTTAAAGCCTCTGCCTTCGGCTCGATCATGGTCCCAGGGTCCCAGGGTCCTGCTCCCCACCACCTGCCTGCTTCTTTGCCTATTTGTGATTTCTGTCAAATAAATAAATAAAATCTTTAAAAAAAAATAGGAGCTAATATGGAACCAGGATGATTGCACAGGCAATTAGTGACATTATCCTGGAGTAGAGTGGGTTCAGGTGTGCACATGGGGAGAACACTACATGGGCAAACATAGAGGCTTAAGTTTACCAGCCAAGGAATGCCAAATATTGTCAGTAAACCACCAAAAGCAAGAAGACACAAGCATGGAACAGATTCTCCCACACCACCGTCAGAAGGCACCAACCCCACTGACACCTTTTTGGACTTCCAGCCCCCAGAATTGTAAAATAATAAATTTCTGTTGTTTCATCCCCCAGTTTATCGTACTTCATTATGGCAAACCTAGCAAATTAATGTAGGGCCCAAAACTGGCCTATCTTACCAGTATGTGACATGATCACATGATAGTTTCACCAGAACTATGGGAGGGGTTTTAAAAAGGAAAAGAAACTTGGCCATGTTTGCACTCTGTTCTGAAATCAGCCTGCTGTTACTCTTTTTACCCGAAGTCCTCCGTTAGTCATGACGATCACTGGCTTGGGTCCTGTATGTTTCTTAGGGGGAAAAAAAGTATGATGCCCCCAATTCTTTGCACTACAGCTCAGTTTAATGTCAATATCTGTCCCCTCTATTTTTGAACAGGGACCTCAATGCAAAATCCTTCATTTTTATAGATCTATGATTAAACTGTTAAAAAAAGCAGTGTCTTATTTTTTAATCTTTTTAAAAGATTGTATTTATTTTAGAGTTGGGGGATGTGCAGAGCAGAGGTGAGAAAGAATCTCAAGCCGACTGCACTGAGCACAAAGCCTGACACAGGGTCTCAATCTCAGGACCCGAAGATTATGACAGAGCCAAAATCAGGAATCGACCGCGTAACCAACTGAGCCACCCAGGCACCCCCCAAAAGCAGAGTTTTATTGCTTCCTGCTTATAAATTTGCTCTACTTTGACTTATATGGGCAAAAACAAAACATTGGAGACAATTTTTTTTTCTCCTTTTCCTTACTTTATTTGATGGTAAATGTAAAATCATGAAGTTTTAGGAGGGAGCATTCTTTGGTTTCCTTATTACAACTATTCATCTTTCTTTGGGGAAAGAGGGAGCGGACTCTTTTGGAAGACATTTCTCTGGAATCTTTCTCTGGTGACTTGTAATCTAAAGCTGTTGAATTCAAGGAAAGTTTTAACCACAGTATTTAATCTTCTAGAGACATTTATTACATAGCTTTTTGTTTTGCCTTGTTTAATATAAACCACATCTCCAGAGAGATGTTTCCTGGTTGTGTCATTTCATAAACTAGAGTGTGAAGTAGAAAATCCCAGATAAGAAGAGGCCACTTCTCCTTATGAATTCTGTCAGAAAATCTGCATTCTCAAAGGGAACTAGAACCTTAAAACAGTGCCAATGAAAACATTAACTTTAATAATAATAGTAGTAACAACAACAACAATGGTAAACTTCCAGAGGAGGTATAGAGTAGTGATGATAAAGATACTTCTAGAATCAGACACACCTGAATTTTTTTGCAGCTCTGAGTCTTCCTAGCTACATTCCCTCTGAGCAAGTTATCTTCTCTAAACCTCAAATTCATCATCTCTAAAATGGGGATATTAAATCCTTATTTCATAAGATTGTTGTGAAGATCAAAGAAGATATCAAATGAAAAGCTTTTAGCACAATGTCTAGCACATAATAAATATTCACGAAATGTTAGCTGCTATTGTTATGAACAAGAATGCAATTTATGAAAGCTTATTACAGGTAAGGGGCTCTAAGAATATTATCTCCAATCCTGATAGCAATCTTCAGGGTAATTATTGTTTGTCTCCACCTCAAAGATAAGAGTGAAATTGCTTATTCAAGGTCATTGGGTTGGAAGCGGCAAAGCAGAGGTTCCTTCTGGTCTGAAAAATTATATCACATTTCAAATGAATACCTTCAAACCGACAGAAGAGCTACAATGAAAAGTCTCCCTCTAGGTCACTGTTTTTCGAGTTGGCATTTATAAAATCTGTAAGTCAAGATAAGATTAAAGGAGAGTCTTTAGTAGAATATCTGATTTGATCAAAATCCATTTACTCCTTCAAGCTTCATCACATAATTAACAATGAAACTTAGAATGGCATTGAATCAATTAACTGCACCCCACATATGAACCTTAGTAACCTGAAATCTGAAAATCTCTGTATTCATGAGGTCTCTTCGGGTAAAGATTAACAAATCTCACCTCAAAATATCTTAGAGGGAAATTTTTCACTTCTGTGTTTGGGAATTCTAGAATCTTTCTAGCTTCAGGCATAGCAGGATCCAGGCTCTTTGCTCTCATCCGTTTCCCACACTGACTCCGCTCTTCAGCTCTGATCTGGCTTCTCCTCATCTGCTGAAAAGAAATCGATGTATTAATATAAATATCTTCCCACAGCCACAATACCTTATCCTCACCTTTAGTGACCCCAACAGATAGGCCTCTTTTTCATCCAACACCTGTACATTGGTCATCAATAAGAACTCTGTTTGGCCTACTTAAGTCATAGACTGTGGTCAGTTCTTTGAAGAAGTGGGTCCTTCAATAACATTGCAGTTATTTCCTATGGGTGCTGTAATCAGTTATCACAAACTTGGCGGTTCATGATAATACAACTTTATTCTCTCAGAGTTTTGGAGGCTGGATGCCCAAAATCATTCTCACTGGCCTGAAGTCAAGGAATTAGCAGGGTCTGGTTCCTTCTGGAGCCTCCAGAGGAGAATTTTTTTTTCCTTGTCTAGCTTCTGAAGGCCACCTACATTCCTTGGACCAAACCCCTTCTTTAAATCATTCTAACCTCTTGCTTCCACAGTCACGTGTCCTATTTCCTCTTCTATAGTCAAATATCCCTCTGCCTCCCTCTTCTAAGGACACCTGCAATCATATTTAAGACCCACCTGGATAATCCAGGAAAATCTCATCTCAAGATTCTTAGTCACATCTGCAAAGTCCCTTTTGCCACAGAAGATAATATTAACAGGTTTTAAGGATTAGGACATGGATGTCTGGGGACCATTATTCAAAGTACCAGAAGCATAGTCCAGGAAGTTATGGCAACCAATGCAAACAAATAGTCATACCATCAGGCAAAGAAAGACACATTTTATAAAAGAGAGAAACCACAGATTATACAGAGAAGGGAGAAACCATTTTCAGCTTCTGGGGTCTGACTTGGCTTCTGGACAGATAATTGTAATAATGATGATAGCAAACATTTGTATTGCCCACTATGTGTCAGCCATTGTTCTAAGTGCCTTACTTATATAACTCAATCTTTACAAAAAAGCATCCTCATTTCATAGAAGAGGAACCTAAGGCACAAAGACTGTAAGTGATTTGCCAAAGATCACTTTGAACTAGCACAGCTAGGATTTGAACCCAAGGTATCTGACTCCCAGAAGCATACTCTTGACCATTTGAGATGTAACTTACAGAATGGATGGCAGGCTGTCACAGTGAGTAAACAGAAGTGTCCTGTATAGATAGGATGAAAATGAGGCACAGAATGAATGAAATGAATGAAAAAGGCACAGAAACAGAAAAATAAGAAGCAGATTCAAACCAGTTGGTAGACTGGGTGGGACGGAGTATAGCAAGCCTGGGAGAAGTAGCAGGAGATCAAACTAGAGATCTAGCCTGAGGATAAGGCAAAGAAGACTGAAACCACGGACAACCTCTGTGACTGGTGGAAGTCCTTTGAGACATTGGACTTGAGGAGGCTTCTCAGAATTGTACCTTGGAGGACTAATCTGAGGACAATGTGAACCTGGGCTGAAAGAGGAAAAGGAAGCTGCCCTGCTTCCTCTACTCTGAGGTACTTTGTATAGCACAGAACCCCTAAAGGGGAGCTGAGTGTATCACCATGCTGCACGTGCCAACAGATGATACAGAACCACATACAGTGGAGCCAGAGAGCAAGAGGCAGGCAGTATGGATGCTGGAACTGCTGCTGCTGCTGCTGCTGGAAATAGTAGCAACATTTTGGAGTCAATTTAAAGTGTCTTTACCCATGTTTGTTGAAGTCTTTAAACATAACAAAAATTTTCTGGAAATTCAGGAGGTATAGGAATATATATATTCAAACCTAGGTTCTGTCCTTTGGCTTGGTGGGGTCTTGGGTAATTAGTCAACACCCCGAGCTCTATTTGTTTAATCTGTAAAATACAGGGGCGCCTGAGTGGATCAATTGGTTAAGTGTCTGCCTTCGGCTCAGCTCATGATCCTAGGGTGCTGGGACGGAGTTCCGCATTAGGCTCTCTGCTCACAGGGAGCCTGCTGCTTCCTCAGCCTCTGCCTCTCTTTCTCTCTCTCAAAAAATAAATAAATAAATAAATAAATAAATAAATAAATCTCTTTTAAAAATAAATAAATATAAATCAAATTATGTTACTGGTAATTGTTAATGTATAAGGTAAGAATAGCTGTCTGGCCCCACTGTGGGATCTACTTTTCCTCATTTTACAGATAAGGAAATTGAACTTCAGAGAAAAGAATGTATTTATCCAAAGCCGTACAGTGGATTTGAAAGGACAAGTGCAAGATTCCAATTACTTGCCAATCTCACCAAGGGAAAATCAAGCTTCAGGGAAAGAGCAGGACAAGTGTGACTACACAGGTGAGCAAGATGAGCTTCAAGAAAGATGCTCACAGGTCTTGGAGAAGCTCCAAAGCACAGATTTGAGAACACTGATACTCTTTGCCTATCTGCTGGAGCACTCAGGCGCCAGCGGCAGAGAGGCCCCCAGCCATGCACAGCTGGATGGAAACTTGGTCCCTGCCTAGCAACAGCCTCTGCATCCTTCGCAACCTGGGAGGGAGCAGTTGAAGGAGCGGGTGCTGTGATTGGCCTGACTCCTGAGCTCCTATCACCTGTCCTGTTCCCCGCAGGCCACTGCAGCTCTTGATCCCTAGGAGAGCACCGTCAGAGTACCCCTGAGCTGCCTGAGTGGGGAAACGCTTGCCTCAGCAGTAATGCCAAAACCCCTGTTCTATCTCAGGAAAGGACTCAGGACTGATGTGCAACTGCTGGGCAGAGAGGGTACCCCACCGTCAGAAATTGTGGTTCCTGAAATTTCCAGACAGCTTCAAAGAGGCTGCAGGTCCCACTGGATAGGGCTACCCGCTCAGAGCACGTCTTTCTTTCCTGTAGACCACACACTAAGTGAAGCTGGAGTCCAGGGAAAAATGCTGGTCTACCTTAAACCTGGGCACTAGAAACGGGTCTAGTCATACTTGCTGTGTGAGTTTGGTCAAATGATATACCTCTCTGGATCTTTGCTTACCAATCTGTAAAGCATTTGAATTAGAATGATCTCTGAAGAGCTTTCAGTCTGGGAAAGTCTCTGAAAGAGAGTGATCAGCCTGGGGCCAGGTATATAGAACTTCTAAGTTGTCCTTGGCCTCAGACCTGTATAAGCACATAGTATTTATCTAGTACAGGATCTCAACTTCAGATTCACCAGATTATTGCAGAAACACACAGCAACAATAACAACAAAAATCCCTCTTTCCTATGCACAACACTCCTTCGGATGCATTATCTTATTGGATTCACCCTAAATCCCGGAAAGGAGAACTGGAATTATCCCAGTTTTGTAAGCAGGGAAACTGAGCAGTGAGAGCTGAGTATAAGATCTTCATATTACCCAATAAAGCCCTGGTTTCCTCTCTGACCTCATGAGAATCCCATCTGGCGTCAGGAAGGTAGAGTCTCCAAATGACTCAGTAGACCTGTTTTGCAGATCTCCTGAGTGAGATTCCCAATTCTGCTCATTACTGATTCTATGCTATTGAGTAAGTGACATAACTACGTTATGCCTGTTCCCTCAACTATAAAGCAAGAATGATAACAGTAGTTAAGAATATCTTATTATGCCTTTATTAAGAATGTCAAGTGAGATAAGATAGGTAAAGCATTTGGTCCTGCTATTGTTTTTGTTAATACTGACAAGGATGCTAAACCGACTAATGGGAAATCAAGAGGAAGAAACATGTACTTATTTTCCAACCCAAGGATTTGAAAGGGCTTTGAGAAGAAGCATGCCTTCCATTTGGGAGACTCTCCGTGGATCAGAAGCAATGCATGAGACCCCAACTATTTATTTTTAAGGGTAAAAAAAGGTGGTGAAAATCATTGGAAGTAAATACTTTCAGTGCCTTTTGGAGAAGCCAAAGATGTAAGTTTACTGTTTGACAAATATCTGCTTTGCTGGGAAGATAATGAAGTCTGGGCCTTTTTTTCTTAATCTAGAAATTTACATTTTTAAAATGTTGTCCATGGGAAATTAAGTCATTAAGAAGTATCAGTAGAAATAAAATAGTGTTGATAACTTCCATGAGCCCTGTTTTCCTGATATTTTTCATCTTTTTAATTCCCCTTATGCTTGAATTACTTAGGCAGATTTCTCAAATCGATGAGGAATATGAGCATTGAGACATTTATAACTATTAATGGGGTATTGCTGCTGCTTCTCATCACGTTTATAATCTCCTACAGTAGGAATTTGGAGGGGGAGGGGGAAATAGTGTTAGTCAATTTGTTATGGATTAAAGGAGTAGGATTAATAAGGAATCATAAATTATAAGATTTTCACTTAAGATTCTATACTCCTCCAAGTGAAGGCTTCTCAGAACATAGCTAAAAGGTCTTTCTTCCCTTCAGGCTCATCACAGTCATATTTGAGGGAGGACACTCAGGTATCTCTAAAATTCTCCAGATACTTGGCACAGAAGAGTATGACTAGGTCTCTCTTCCAGCATTTTGGTGGTTCACAAAAGAAAAGGAAGGCACCAGACCCATCTTTCATATAGTAGCCATTCCATTAGTAGCAGCGGTCAATAGCTTCTTTTCCCGCCTGAGATTATTTCCATAGCTTTTGCCTTTATTTCAGAAACCTGCAGACCAAACAAATAGACAAGCAGAAAAGATCTGGCCTCACAGAACATAGTTGCAGAAAGTAGTGGATATCAAACCTGGCTGTCATCAGAAACATCAAGAAAATCCTTAAGAATAAAGAGTTGGGGTCCAACCCAAGACCTACTAAATCAGAATCTCTGAAGATGAAGCCATCCAGAACACTGCTGGGGAGCACAAGCTTAGCAGGGGAAATTGGTTTAACTCTCCACCATCACTGTTGTCAGACTAGAGAAATTCCAAAGTGAGTGCTATAATCAATTATTAATGTCTATCCTGACACAGGAAGTAAGTTTTGCAGCCCATGAGTCCTGCATCTGAGATCCCTACAGAGCTGAGAGATGTGGACTTGAATTCTGGTTCTGTGCTTTCCTGGCCTTTTGACATTGAGACAATTAATATCTCTGGCCTCAGATCCTACCATCTCTCAAGTAAGGCTAAAACCCATATATCCAGTAGGGTTGTTGTGAAGACCAAATGAGAAAAAGTAGGCAAAACCCCTTCTCAGTGTCTAGTAGTATATGCAACATGCTCAATCCGTGATTTTATTATTATGATTGAAGCATATCTTTCCAGGGATGTGAGACATTTAATAAAAAAATCAAATCTCATTCTATGGAATGCTTGCCATTCCTTTTATATTCTGTGTGTGGGACACAGTCTACCTCTGTTTTGTAGATGAGATAACTAAGATGCTGTGATATGACCTTATAATAATCATAATTATAATAATAAGATCTTCTACCAAAGGCCCATGGTTCACAAGGAACGTACTAGGATCTGTTTGGATGCTCTGCTCAGTTCTCCTCCCATCCAGAAGCTGACATTACTACTAGACTAATTCCATTCCCATCCAGGGTTCTTTGTTTAGCCTATTTGTTCCAAATCCCTTATTTTTTTCCAGGAGGATCAGAATCTAATGTTCCTAAAGAGTTTTCTGGGGGAGGATCCTTGTCCTTTTAAATATGGAAGGAAAAATTCTTTCTGTCTTATAAAAAAGTGTCTTTTATTTTTTCTCTCTATTCTTTAAACTTCACAATCTAAGAAATAAAAGTGTACATTAGATTATATACATAAATTGTGAAATAAAAGGCAAAGTTCTATTTCTTCTGTGACAATGGTAAAAAAAAAAAAGCTTAAAAAAATATCAAGATAGGTTGCTTTATCTCTATTTTCTCTGGGTTTGATGTTGCTATTGCTGGAATGACATAGGACCCCTGACATGCTTTGCTAAAATATTTCTGTATGGTTCAAAAACAAATGATTCTCAAAAGGGTTCTTGTTGCCAAGGTAAGAACAAACCCACCACTATCATGTCATGTGTGTCCCAAAATGTGTCTACCTCTGTAGCTTTCAGCCTGAGCCTCAAAAAGGCTTTTTCTATGGGTTGAATCTGTTGAGTCCATTAGTAAAATATCTATGTATGAAACATTAGTGAGGCTTTTTCTGCCTGTGGTGTCTCAGACTCATTCTTAAGGAACTGAGAACATAATCTTTCAAAATGTCAATAAGACCATTTTATGCCTCACCTCCCACCCCAGCTCCTATAACACAAATGCCCAGCACACCAGGGTTTGTGGGATATAATCCATACGGTCATCTCGCCTGCAACAACTAGAGGTTGGGAGGGAACCTGGGCATCAACAGTCAGGTCATGGCATCTTCTGGTATTATGATTCCAAACCCCCACAAACTACCAGATGAGCCATTGATGGCCTACATGAGGTACAGCAGAAAGGTCTGGGATCAAGTAAAATCTTCCAACCCTGATCTAAAGTTGTGGGAAATTGGCAAGATTATTGGTGGTACGTGACAAGATCTCACTGATGAAGAAAAACAAGAATATTTAAGTGAAGAGGAAGCAGAAAAGATAGAGTACAATGAATCTATGAAGGGCTATCATAATCTCCCTGCATACGTTGCTTACATAAATGCAAAACGTCATACAGGAGCTGCTTTAGAGGAAGAAAGTCAACAGAGACTCTCGCATGGGGAAAAGAGAATCTTACATGAGCATCCAGCCTGCTGAAGATCCAGATGGCTATGATGATGACTTTTCACTGAAGCATACGGCTACCACCCATTTCCAGAGAAACCACCACCTCATCAGTGAAATCTGTAGTGAGAGGGTAGAGCCAAATGTTCCATCAGTTGTCACAACAGCTAGTAGGCAGGTCCTTAAACAATGCGTCCAGTATTTAATGGTTCATCAGTGAAAACTAGAAGCTGAACTTCTTTAAATGGACGAATGACACCAGAAAAAGAGGAAATTTCTGGAAAGCACAGATTCATTTAACGATGAACTTAAATGGTTGTGTAGTTTGAAGTGGAACGGATATGGAAAAAATTGCCGCTGAAATTGCACAGGCAGAGGAAAGGGCTGGTAAAAGACAGGAGGAAAGGGAGAAAGAGGCCGCAGAGCAAACTGAACGCAGTCAGCATGGTTCCTGAGGGAGAGCAAGCTGTGAGTAAGACCAAGGAGGAGAAAGACCAACAAGAGGGTGCCTGGGTGGTTCAGTGAGTTAAGCCTCTACCTTCCGCTCAGGTCATGATTTCCGGGTCCTGGGATCGAGCCCCGCTTCGGGTGCTCTGCCCAGCAGGGAGCCTGCTTCCCCCCCTCTCTCTGCTTGCCTCTCTGCCTACTTGTAATCTCTCTCTCTCTCTGTCAAATAAATAAATTATATATATATATATATATATATATATATATATATATAAAAGACCAACAAGAGCATCCCAGTGGAGACAGAGGAGACACACCTTGAAGAAGCACCAGAAAGACAACAGAATGGTGAAGAAGACACATCCACTCCTGATGACAAGGAGAGCAGGCAGGAGGGGGTAGACAGTATGACTGAGGAAGGGACCCGTGAGAGTAGCCCTGGCTTAGAGAATAACAGCGGAGGAGCCCAACAGACCCCACCCCAGAAGATGAGAAGAAAGAATAAATGTTGCTTTGTTTGATGTGTTCTAAGTACTTGCTTAAATGAAAAAAAATAAATGTTTTTTGAGTTTTAAAAAAAAAGGGAACATAAGTGAAAGCCAAAAAAAAAAAAAAAAAAGGAAGAAGTCTCTAAAAAGAAAAATCACAAATGAATAATGGATGAAAAACAGAAATCTTCCCATCTAACCACGTTTAGTTCAGACTTCCTGTAGGATATTTGGAGAGGATGGAATAGGATGGCAGACCTGAATGTGACCTTCATGGTGTCAATCAGGGTATTAATCTGCTAGGACTGCTGTATCAAAGCTCCACACATGGGGTGCCTTAGACCACACAGAAATGTATCGCCTCACAGTTCTGCAGGTGAGAAGTCTGAAGTCAAGGTGTTGGTAGAGCCGTGCTCCCTCTACAGCTGCCCAGGAAGGAGAGCTTATAGGTCTCTCTCCCTTCTTCTGATAGTTTTGTGCCTCATGGCAGCATAACTCTAAAATTCACATGGCAGTCTCCCTGTATCTGTGCCTGTGAACAAATTTCCCCTTTCTATAAGAATACCAGTCAATTGGTTTGGGGGTACATCCTATTCTAGTATGACCTCAATTTAACTAACTACATCTGCAATCACCCTATTTCCAAATAAGGTCATATTCTGAGGCCCATGGGGTTAGGACTTCAACATATGAATTTTAGGATTCAATTTAGCCCATAACAACTAATCTCCCATTTTACAGATGAAACAACTGAGACCTCCATTGGGCTTAAAGGGAGGCCAGTTACTAAGAACTAAGACTGAAGTCGAGCTCCTTTCCTCTTTTCTTAGTTTAGCCTGTACAGTTATTGACAGATGAAAGGAAAATACTCAATACCCATTTAGTAGTCAAGTTCTTTATAAAGGAGATCAATCTCCAGGCTATAAAGAGCAAAACAAGTGTACCTGAGATTCACGACCATCATTTGCCTCTCAGATCACTCCACCAGACTTCCAACCTGCTCTTTCTCTCTTTCTCTAATCCACTTTATAAAGGCGTGCTCCCTAGAGGGTAACCCATGGACCACCAGCATCAGCCTCACCTGGGAACTGGCTAGATGTAGAATCACAATTTGCATTTTTGTTCATTCCCAAGTGTCTCCTGTGTAACATTCCAGTTTGAGATGCCCACTTCTCAACTATGGCCAGCATCATCTTCCTAAAATGCAGATCTAATGAGATGCCACCACCTCTAGCCCCAGATTTACCCATCCTCCCCCATAGGTTTCCACAGCACTGTTAAGGGACTGTTACACTTTGTGATGATTTCCTATGCATTTCTGGCTCCTCCATT